AATTGTGCCCTTGTAAAAAAGTTTAGGACTGCAACCTTACATTGCAGCCTTTGTTGCATAAAAGGAAGAATTTCATCAGGTGTTGTTTCCCATGCTACATCAGTAATTAAGTAATTAAGGCTGCAATCCTAACCTCATTTACCTAGGAATTAAACTTGACTGACTTCTGAATTGACACGGTTAGGATTCTGCTGTAATGCACCTATGGCTTATTCCCAAGTAAATTCACATAGGATTATAGCCTCAAATATTTTAACAAACTATTTGGGTGTAGGTTAATTGAACAGGAACTGATTTACAGTGATATGGATTTGTGGTGAAAATTAATTAAAACATTTTTATTTGAGGTGATTTGGAAATGGAATTAATTGGCTTGCCTTTTTGAAATTTACATGTTAGTAATTATTTCTAAATTTGAATATATACTTATAAATTAGCATGTGGCATTTTTAATGAAAATTGTGTTCTCGTTTATCTTCTTTTTCAGCGGTGCATGTCCCCTATTTCCGGGGATGCATAAGTGGCAACGCTGTTTCTTAAATAAACTTTTCTACTCCTGCGACTTTCTGGATCATGACTTGAAAGTACATTATTCTATAACATGTTATCTAACCTGCTTTCGCCTCTCAGTCCTGGCTGAGCTGCAGAAATACTCTGTATTCAATAAACAAAGCAAAACAAAGATAAAGAGTGTGTATTTAAGCGACTTAAACAAACTTGAAATGAACAGAGAACAGGAAAGCATGCTCTGTTGAGTCGTTGAAGTTTTAAGGATCCTATAAAAACAATAAGCACATAGAGCTATGGCTGTCAAAGATAATGACAGTACATGACCCTGTAAATCATCAGTCCTGAACAATTAGAGCAAAGTGTCCATAAAAGCTGAGAATCATAATTATTTTTAGTGAGAGAAAAGGGAACAAGCCATGGGTTGGCAACATGTGTGAGTGCTTTATCATGATGGAGAGGGAGACATAATAAATTCATCTAAGGTGAAAATAAGAAATTGCCTCTAAAAGGGGCCTCTTAACCTTTTTAATGTTATCCTAGCTCTGCTATCCTTTCCCACAAATTGCTGCCTCTCTTTCACCACTCTGAAAGCACTAGTTTTTAATAATAGGGTGCTGTTAGATTGTGCATGTAAACTAGGAATTTACCCTACTTTAAACTAGAGGTTACAATCCTAGACCCATTTTGGCTGGAAGAGTGGTATGATACTGCTTTAAATGTATAGCGCAGATGGGGCCTGAGCGAAATTATGTGTAACTAAAAAAGCTTTGTAATTTTCCTTTGTCCCCCCACACCATTATTCAGTTATTTTTCTGTATCTATTCTTAGATGGGGCACACAAATAAAACAGGATAGCCACTTTTACTCCGGCTGTTCCTGACTAAAAACATCCCTGTACAGAGTCAGATGCAGACTTTGGCTTCTCTGCTTGTCTTGGCCAGCAAAGGACTCTAAAAACTCTCTGGCAACTACAGTTCTCCTCTGCCCTTGAGCGCCGTCTTGCTCAGCAGTTCACCCCTAGTTCTGCTAAGTTCTTACAGTTCTGCTAAGTGATTCACTGTTGGTTCCTTCTCAGTTTAGAAGAATATCACAGGACAAGCCCCAACTCTTTCTTCAGGGCCTACAGGTTCCTTCCCCTTCCTTCAGGTAAATGGTGAGAGTAGCACTCATCCAAGAAAGGAAAATGAGCAAACCCCAAACTATTTCCATCGGGGAACAACTTTGTTGAGGCCTTACTTACTTACTTACTTACTTACTTACTTATTTTAGCATTTCTGCACTGCTGCAGAAGTAGTCTGAAAGGTTAGCAATACCAAATTGCCAATGCAACCTAACAACACAGAACATAATCAATACAATATTTACTGCATTTGCATTAATATACATAAAGGCAGAATACCTTCTTTTGAATTCAACCTTTTGAAATTGGGTGCACCTCCAACATAATGAATTCAAAAGAAGATATTCTGCCTTTATGTGGTAATTTGAGTGCATGTTGTCCCTGACATTGCCTGCAAGTGAGTAATAAAAATATACTCGTGCTAAGGCATCTAATCCCTCCACCCATTTTTCAAGCTGCACACTACCAGCTTTCCAACTACTTCCCCTCCCTTCAAAGCCACAAAAACAAAAAAAAATGTATTGGGCATGGTGGGAAATTAAGAAAGTGGCTAGACTCACTTTGCCTGTGGCCATTGCAGCCAAGTAAGGCCACTAACAGGGGAAATGACACATCAGAGGACATTTTGCCCAGCTCCCCCCCCCAACCCCCACAATCCTGCAGCTGGTCCTGCTTAGATTGTAAACACTTCAGAATAGGAACATGACCTTGGTCCAACCACTGTCCCTCAGCCTAACCTACCTAAGAGAGCTTTTTCCTGGACCAAATACAATGGGGGATAACTATGCATGAGCTCCTTGCAAGATACATCTACAGTATATATTTACATATCATGTACAGATAGGGCATCACCTCATCTGTCTCCTGAGAAATCTCTATGTGGGACAAGAAGCTACAGTTAGAACTGGATATGGAACAACTGATTGGTTCAAAATTGGGAAAGGAGTACGACAAGGCTGTATTTTGTCTCCCTGCTTATTTAATTTATATGCAGAATACATCATGCGAAAGGCTGGGCTGGATGAATCCCAAGCTGGAATTAAGATTGCCGGAAGAAATATCAACAACCTCAGATATGCAGATGACACAACCTTGATGGGAGAAAGTGAGGAGGAATTAAAGAACCTTTTAATGAGGGTGAAAGAAGAGAGCGCAAAATATGGTCTGAAGCTCAATATCAAAAAAACGAAGATCATGGCCACTGGTCCCATCACCTCCTGGCAAATAGAAGGGGAAGAAATGGAGGCAGTGAGAGATTTTACTTTCTTGGGCTCCATGATCACTGCAGATGGTGACAGCAGCCACGAAATTAAAAGACGCCTGCTTCTTGGGAGAAGGGCAATGACAGGCCTAGACAGCATCTTGAGAAGTAGAGATGTCACCTTGCCAACAAAGGTCCGTATAGTTAAAGCCATGGTCTTCCCAGTAGTGATGTATGGAAGTGAGAGCTGGACCATAAAGGAAGGCTGATCGCCGAAGAATTGATGCTTTTGAATTATGGTGCTGGAGAAGACTCTTGAGAGTCCCATGGACGGCAAGAAGATCAAATGCATCCATTCTTAAGGAAATCAGACCTGAGTGCTCACTGGAAGGACAGATCGTGAAGCTGAGGCTCCAGTACTTTGGCCACCTCATGAGAAGAGAAGACTCCCTGGAGAAGACACTGATGCTGGGAAGATGGAGGGCACAAGGAGAAGGGGGCGACAGAGGACGAGATGGTTGGATAGTGTTTTCGAGGTTACCAGCATGAGTTTGACCAAACTGCGGGAGGTAGTGGAGGACAGAGGTGGCCTGGCGTGCTCTGGTCCATGGGGTCACGAAGAGTCGGACACGACTAAACGACTAAACAACAACAACAACAGATAGGGCTATTGATAATGATGACTGCGACAACGGTTTGATTTTCTTGTTAGAATCCTCAGAACTGAAGCATGAGGTAGAAATATAGGAAATAGGAATAAATATAACCATTTGTAGGAAGAATTGTCCAGTCCTGAAAGCTGTTACAAACCGCTGTGGTTTTAAGAATTAGAATGAGATTTTGAAGGATATAAGCACTCAACATGTGCATTCTGAATTATCTCTGGTTATTATAGGGGGAGATGAATTAATGCCTCTAAATCTACTTTGAGATTACAAATGTTCCAAATAAAATAAAATAAAAGAATCGGCTTAAACCTATTAGATAGATTTCAGTATTATTATACAAGAAAGATTTAGCACAGTGATACATCTGCCATCAAAATGCGTCTGGTTTGATTGTAAAAGAATTTTGTTCCCTTTCATGTAACTTTGAGAAAAGCGGGGGCGGGGGGGGGGGAGCAATGCACTGGTGTTTCCTCTTCTGCCATCAGATCATTTGCTGGAAATAAACTGAGAAATAAGGCTGTTTTCTCTACAGTGGCGAAGAAGAAATGCCATATATAAAGTAGCCCCAGGCTACAGTGCTGTTTAAGCAGAGTCTGCACTGCCGTTCTTTGGAATAATACGATAGGTCATTTAGGGTAACTGTTATGGACAAATAACTGGTATCCACCAATATACCACTTTCCTCTGTAGTGTTCATAGTTCATTGGCTGGCCCAGGACCAGATACCCCACAGGATTGTGGTGGTGAAGACAAACAGGTGGGGGCAGAGACAGAGATACAACTCTGTATGCTGCCTTAATCTCCTGGAAGAAAAGGTGTTACGGGAAAGAATGATTTTCCAGTGTATGAATTTCCCTTCCCTCTTCTCTTTGTCATTGCCAGAAGATGAGATTAAACACTTCTCTCTGTGTTTTTAAGCATCCCTGTGACATCTTAACTCAAGTAACTGTGGTTGGTTTAAACTATGGTTTGATAACAAGCTAGGATCTAAAACCATGGTTTGATCCTGGATTCTTCTCAGTAACAACCTCAGTTCCCAGAGTTTGGGCATCATAGGAAACTATGGTTTGTCAAAAAGTGACACTGGAAGCTTCGACGTTTTTCCTCTGGCATGCAAAAAAGCAGGAGGGGATGCAAGAGCCTAAGGCTTATGTGGGTTCATTCATGATGCATTTCCCATTAAACCCAAATTGGTTGATGACTAGATGACAAAAAATTACACGTCAGTATATAAGAAAACCTACATTTAATACCTGATCCCCAATATTAAGCTACTTTTTCTTTGCTTTATTTATTTAGTACATTTGAATTCTGTTCCACTACCTTTATTCAATAATGTTTGATTTATTTTTAGCATTTCTAACAAATATTTGATATTCTTTTCTGCAAACTGCTTAGAGTTCTTTTCTGATTAAATGGCTTATAAATCCTGTTAAATGAATAGTTTCACAAACACTTTATTTTTAGGTCATAGATATGTGCATTGTAGGTTTGTACCTACCTGGTTTCTAGTGGTATATTACTATTCAGGACCCAACTGTTATGGAGATGCACTGCGTCCTGCGTACTGGTTGGAGGGGGCGGAGCAGCTGGGCTAGGTTGGCTGCGGGTCGTCATTGACCTTCCCTGGAAAGAGTCAGCTGTTGAAAGCGGCTTCCTGCTGCAGGTACATGTGTGGGGCGGTGGTGGAGGTGGCGGCAGTGGTCTGAACGTGAACTGGTTTCGTGGGCTTCCTGGCATTTCTAAATGTGGAGAGACATCAAGGGGAGGGAGGGGGAGAGAGAGAAACAAGAGAGCCAGTTATTATTTTGAGCAACAACAGAAGAATAAAGAGTTTCCATGCCTAATAGGATTACAGCATTTGTCATAGAGAACGTTGCGATCAATCTGTCTTGGAAATGTAATTTTAACTTATGAGTTCACGAAATGCATGCATACAAAATGGAGAACATCCACTGATTTGAATCTGTATGAAATGCAGTCAATATAAAAGTTAGTGAAGTGACTTATGCAATTTCTCCTAGGCTTTCTATTTGGTTTTTTTGGGGGGAGGTGTTTTTTAATAAAGACAAAGAGTCGTAGGCTGAGAGTGTGTTACAGCTCGGATGCCATGTGATTTCATCAGCTGCATTTCGGAACATAGCGATGAAAGGAACTGTAATGTTTTAGAAATAAACGTCTTTCATGCAAAATCGAAACAGGAGAAACCATCCAATTCATCTATCACATTCATATAATATAAACCATGGGTAGGCAAACTAAGGCCCGAGGGCCAGATCTGGCCCAATCGCCTTCTAAATCCAGCCTGCGGACGGTCTGGGAATCAGCGTGTTTTTACAAGAGTAGAATGTGTCCTTTTATTTAAACTGCATCTCTGGGTTATTTGTGGGGCAAAGAAATTCGTTCATTTCGCCCCCAAAAATATAGTCTAGATCTGAGGGACAGTGGACCAGCCCCCTGCTTAAAAAGTTTGCTGACCCCTGACTTATAAACTCTTTCAGTAACTAGTAGTCTGTTCCATGGAATAAGGTCATAAACAGTTCTGAAATTGTGTTAGTCCAACTGTGGTGTCTAGCAAACATGCCTGCAAAAGAATCAATGGCTAAGAGAAAGGGATTGAGAAGGATATTCACTGAAAAGGAAGTGAGTAACAAGGTAATAGTTTCTTGTGCTAAACTACTGTGAATGGATTTCTGTTAAATAAGCCGTGAATATTAATACAGTGGTACCTCACAAGACGAATGCCTCACAAGACAAAAAACTCGCTAGACGAAAGGGTTTTTTGATTTTTGAGCTGCTTCGCAAGACGAATTTCCCTATGGGCTTGCTTCGCAAGACGGAAACATCTTGCAAGTTTGTTTCTTTTCTTAACACCGTTAATACAGTTGCGACTTGACTTCGAGGAGCAACTCATAGAACACGGTGTGGTAGCCTTTTTTGAGGTTTTTAAAGACTTGGTGATTTTTGAAGCTTTTCCAAAACTTTCCCGACACCGTGCTTCGCAAGGCGAAAAAAATCGCAAGATGACAAAACTCGCGGAACGAATTAATTTCGTCTTGCGAGGCACCACTGTACATATATTTGGCCATGGGGTCACGAAGAGTCGGACATGACTAAACGACTAAACAACAACAACAAAATATTAGCAAAGCTCAGTAATTAGTTTAACTTGAAGCATCCACAGCTACCTCAAAAGAAGTGTTGTTTTTATTTTTTATCATTATTCACTTCATTTCTATACCGCTTTATATTTTTAAGGAAAAAAATCTCAAAATGGTTTACAACCTACATTAAAACATCAAAGCAAGCAAGAACAAAGCATCACAAAAGAAAGTCAAACTTAAAATATACATTCAAGGCAACTAACAGAAAATTTAAATCTTATCTCAAAGATTTCAAAACAAAACATTACAAAGGAGGTCAACTACAAAATCTACATAACATTTCAAAAGAAGACATTACTAAAGGAAGTCAAATATAAAATGCACATTTAAAACAGCATAATTAGCAAGAGACTAAAGTATTCACAAGTGCAGAACATATCAGCTGCTGTTGCTGCCAATCCTGCCGATGGTGGTTCATGGCAGGCAGCAGCTATGGAAGCTCAGGCTCAATGACCTGGGTCTGCAATAAGGGACACCCAATATGGATCTCTGGCCTCTTCAACAACCTCTGCTTCTGTAGCTGGAGTCAATCATTGCCCCCACTCCCAGGCCAGGTGGGGAAAGGTCTGTGTAGTCTTCAAGGACTCACAGCCAAGAAAATAAAAAAAATATTTAAGATACAAGTCTGAAAATCAAGGTGGGAGTTCACAAACTGATCTGTCTAAGAAGACTCCTAGAATGCTTCATGGGTCCCCCACTTGCCACCAAGTGTGGCTTTCCTCAGTTTATCAGCTCTTTTCCATTTATATTTTGTGAGACCAAAAGCTAAATGAAACGGGGCAAGGCAAGAATAGTTAGTGCATAGCCCCAGGAAGTTGCTCAGAAGGAATGTGGTCCTCTAGTTGGGAAAGAGATGCTGCTCCTTAAATCTCTACATTTGCTTCCTGAATCAAGCACAAATTCTTTGCACTTACCCTCAAAGTCTTCTATGGCCACTTCTCCCTTATGTCTCTGTTGATACATCCTGATACACCACTACCTGTGATCTGTGCTTCTCCTTTTCCAACATCCATCCTTAATCATCCAAAGCTCTTCTGATCCCTGAAATTACTCCACCTTCTCTCACCTGCTGGTCAGCTTGCTTGGAACTGCCTCCCAGAAGACTTAAGTGATTCCACCACTTTATTTTCTCTAAATCCCCCCCCTAAACAGAAATACCCTTTCAGTGAAGTTTTTGGCACAATACCTATGCCTCACTAAAACCGAGTCCCCATCTGCACTATACATTTAAAGCAGCACCATACCACTTTAATAATACTGGGAACTGTTATGGTGCTGAGAGTTGTTGAGATACCTGTATCCCCCACAAAGAGCAACATTTCCCAGAGTATCCTGGGAAGAGAGGTTAATTCTTAAACTAATCTGAGAACTGTAGCTCTCTGAGGGGAGTGACTAATTGTCATTGCAAGAATCACAGCCAAAATGTCATTGATGACTTGCAAGGCAAATATCAATACTATCAAATCCAATTATTTATTATCATTGATGTGCAACATAAATAGATGCAGCATGCTTTAATTCTGTTTTACTATCATGTATGGAGATGGTGTCAATACAAAATATGCAAGCAAGATCCATCCAACTTTCATGACCAATCTATGGCAGGATTAAAGCAATACATTATTGCCATATAACAATTAGGAAGTAACTCTTTTTCTTCTCAATTTGATGTTCAGTTTCACTTTCACCCATCTCAATTACGTATCAAAAGCATTAGGTGGAGAAACAGGGAATGGGTACAGCTCAGAAGAAAACTCTTTTGCTAAGTTAAAACCACTCATCCATCTAATTTGGATATAGGGGTTATGATATATTGGAGAGAAGGGTCATATTTTAGCTGTACAACATAGTAGGGTGAATCCCTGGTTCCTCCAGGTAGGGTTAGGAAACACAGCTATTTGAGACCCTGCTACACTATTGACATTTCAGCTACAATCCTGAGTCTGTGGTTTTAAACTCTGGTTATGTTTTGCTCCCTTACTCACCAGATTGCTAATTCAACTCTGATTAGAGGACCCAATTAACACTGGCACATTGACTAGAAACTGACTAAGAAAACATGACAAATTAAGAACATACAAAATCTTGAATACCAACAAACACTTTCTGCATGGGAAACGGGCCATTATATTCACTCTCCTATTACTCCCAAGCTCATCTATGTGAATCATCCAGAATGTGAAGTAAGGAATTTTACAGATGTCATTAAATATATATAGTTCTCTATAGTTAAAAAAATAAGACAAAAAGAAGAGGCTCTAATTAAAACATGTCTTAAAGATAAAAAGCCCTCAAAAGAATCAAAGTGGATATACTGTGTGCATCTCTGTAAGTGCTATTCACCACATTCAAATTTTCAAATAAAATCAAATAGCTAGATTTATCTCCAGTGATTATGCTGGATGCAGGCACACATTACAATATACTATGGTTTACTGTGACAAAAATAAGGATAGACCCTCCCATTCCCATTCTTCCTCTGGTTTGAATGTGAGAAAATTAAGCACATTTTAAAGTTACAGCTGACCCCTAAAAATGATTAATCTTAACTATGTTTGGTTGACACCAAAGATGGAAGTAAAAGCTTCCAAATTCTTCCTTGAAGGATGTGATTGTGGGAGTAAAGAAGGAGTACATGAATCTTACAAATGTACTTAGAGGAAACTAGGCTTGTTGCCATCACAATAATCTATGGCTTAGTGCAATCTCCAAATACAGGCATGATTTAGAACAGAGATGGGAGACTTGCGGCCCTCCAGATATTGTTGGACTCCCAACGCCCATTAGCCTCAGACAGCACAGCCAAGGGTCAGAGATGATGGGAGTTGTAGCCCAATATCATCTGGAGCGCTAGAGGTTCCCCATCCCTTAAGCACATTACTTTCTCTCAGCTATAATTAACAAGAATCCTTTTCCCACACATATATTCCTAACCATGTCAGTGAAAATAAAAATAGTAGTCTCAAGGTTAAATGCTGTTTTTGTTGGTTTTTACTGGCAAATGGACTCAGATTAATTCCATCTCAGATAAATTGGGAGGCGAGACATCTCAACATCTCACCCTAAATTAATTAGTATGGGCTTTCAAAACATAAGCAGATATTTGATGGGAGGGAAAGTAATATAAAATGAAGTTTTCAATGCTACAGAAAGTTTTGTCTTTTCAATTATCTATTAAAGATGGGTTTTTTTTTTGTTTTTTTAAAGACAACTACACAAGTGTGAAATGCAATTTGATTTTTGTTGTAAAAGCTTAATAAAATACTATGGCATTCCCTAGCCACTGCTAATTGCAATTACGTAACAATTTCAAATGCTGTCCATGAACTGATTCCTGCTTTGCCTTAACTGCTTTGAGTTTGCACAACCAAATTCTGGACTTGACCTTTGTTGACATTGCTTGACTGGATTACACTGGATTTGAGGCTGCCTATGTTGACCTGCCCTGAATACCCTAGGCCTAACTATGTCTACTCCTCTTGTTAGCCTTAGATGTTTGCTGAACATAACGAAGCCCAATGTTATGGCAATCTGCATACCCTCCAATATTTTCCAGGGATAATACTACAATACCCCTG